AGAAATTCAATTTTAAAATGTAAAGACACCTCTACTTTTCATATTTAAACTGTACTTTAAATGTTTGTGTTGATGATTTGTGACTACACTAAAAGGAGTTCAGTGAACTAGCTGTAGTTTGAGGAAGAAAGCTGTTTTACTGCATGTGAGATTCTGAGCTGAAGCCACCTGTTTATCATTTAACAGCATCAACTTATGTTTTCTATATTTAGTTCAATTACACTTCCTACGTGTTTGCGGTTCGAGTTTAAGTTGTACCTGTCAAAAAAACAGAGATGACATCATCAGTCTCTTCAAACAGTGCATGGTTTTTAATCAGATATAAGGTTCTAACTTACAGGTTTGAAGAACTGCCGTTATCCATTCAAATAATTTTAAATTAATAAAAGGTCAGCTGAACAAAAATCAGCTGAAGCAGATGTTTTAGCGTTAATCAGGAGGTAGAGTGAGGGTCATGGATGGAAAATTATTTTAGCCTGTGTTAAAACTAAAACTAAGTAATAATGTTTAAGATGAATAGCTGTTAAAAGGAGATTCACAGTTGAAAACAGGATAATACACATGTTTAGACCAAGTCATTAATCAGAGATTACAAAGATTCAAGATTCAAACTTTTCATTGCTGTTTGAGCCTCAGACAGATGCATGTGCAGAGCACTGCACGGTGAACCTTTTCTTACAGATGCAGAGTAATTCTAAATAGGGTCATTTACAGTACCGACACCCTCTGGTGTGGGTGTGAACACGGTCAGGCCGACTATCGCGTCTCTTTGAAGCACAGGAAGGCCGATAACACATTTGTATAAACCATATTTTATTAAAATGAACTGGCGCCGAATGAGTTTGGTCCCGTTCGGTTTACTGTAACTTTTGCCCATTTCAGTTCCTCTTTTCTGCATTTAGACTGTTTTATAAAAAGAAGAAAATACCTTTCATGGTTGAGTGTTTGCTCCAAAATACTGGTAATATCTTGTCACCTGACAAATGCAGAAGTTGCAACTGTTGCCACAAAACAGATGAAATACATTTGGTTTGATATGGGGTCAAAGGTTGATAACCATGCACTAACTTTATGCTGATTCATACTGCCATAAAATTGGTGTTTATGATCCATTACAGTTGTAGTTTCCTCAGAGTTTATTTTTTGATCATGTGATCAGTCAGCAAATGCTGCTTTGTACATCAGAGCGCGCCAGTATGGCCAGCATTGTTTTTACCTTTTAATGTGTGTGTGGCATAGGAAATGCAAACGAGTGAACTGTTGCACATTCACTACGAGAAGCTGAAGCACATACACACCAGGTTATTTTATAATTGTCGTGACACGATCATGTGATGCTGCCTCGCAATGCCAAAGCTGTTAAACTATAAAACCAGACTGGCGCATGTTCTCTGGTCTTTAGCACTTCAGTTTTTAAACTGATAAAAGCCTTGAACTATAAATGCTTTTCAAACAGAATATAATTTATATTTTTAGCGCAAGAGAATGAAAACATTTTT